CAGAAAAGACTAAGCTATCCGTGGGTACCATTGAACATCTCATCAATGAACATCTGAATCTTTCAAAAGTCAGTGCAAGATGGGTGCCGCGAATGCTCACGCCGCTTCAGAAACAAGTTCGAATTGAGTGCAGTAAGGGGTTTTTGGAGCTTTGTAGCGAAAATCCAAGTGGAATTTTTGAACGCATTGTCACCGGTGATGAAACGTGGATTCATCACTATGATCCTGAGAGTAAGCAAGAGTCCATGCAGTGGCATGAAAAAGGAACAGACCCACCGAAGAAGTTTAAAGTCTGCCCATCCGCCGGAAAACTCATGGCCAAGGTGTTTTGGGATTTTAAGGGAATTTTACTGATCGGATACACAAAAATGGGTCAAAGTATTACTACCGCAGCTTACGCAAACAGCCTACGCAATTTGAAGGACGCTATAAAGGAAAAATGACCTGGAAAATTGACCGCTGGTGTCTTGCTTCTTCACGACAACGCGCCGGTTCACACAGGGCGCGTTGCCAAGGCTGCTGTGAAGGATTGTGGATTTGAAGAAATCACTCATCCACCCTACAGCCCTGACCTGGCCCCCAGTGATTACTTTTTGTTCCCAAACCTAAAGAAAGATCTTCGGGGTAAGCATTTTTCCGACGATGAAGAGTTGAAGGAGGCAATTAATGAACATTTTTCAGGCAAAGAGGAAAAATATTTTTTCGAGGGCATCAAAAAGTTATTTGCCCGATCAAATAAGTGTATTGAGGCTATGGGAGACTATATTGAAAAATAAATTTTATTTAGAATTTTTTGCCTATTATTTCATACCTATACCGAGAATACATTGAACGCCCCGCGTACCTCCTTCACTCGTATGAAATGAGCATTCGTATGAAAAGATTTGATTAGGCTGCGATTCCACCAGAGATGTGCGAGTTAGGAAAGCGTGCGTACGCGTGCCTCTGAGTGCCCGCGAGTGCCCTCGAGAGCTCGCGAGTGCCTTTGAGTGCCCGCGAGAGCCAGGAGTGCTTTTCATTGCCTTTGAGTCCTTTTGAATGCCAGGGAGTGCTTTTGAGTGCCCGCGAGTGCCTTTGAGTACTAGCGAGTGCTTTTGAGAGCCTTTGAGTGCCCGTAAGTGCCGTCGAGTGCCCGCAAGTGCCGTCGAGTGCCCGCAAGTGCCGTCGAGTGCCCGCAAGTGCCGTCGAGTGCCTTTGAGTCCTTTCGAGTACCTTTGAATGTCGGCGAGTGCCTTTGAATGTCTTTAAGTGCCAGCGAGTGTCTTTGAGTGCCAGCGAGTGCTTTTGGGTGCCTTTGAGTGCCTGCGAGTGCCTCTGATTGCTTTGAGTGCCAACGAGCGTCTTTGAGTGCTTTTAAGTACTAGAAAAGCTTTTGAGTGCCTTTGAGTCCTTTTGAGTGCCAGCGAGTACTTACAAAAGCACTCGCTGGCATTCAATGGCATTCAAAGGCACTCGCGGGCATTCAAAGGTACTCAAAGGCACATCTATGAACTGATGCGAAGTGCGCGGACTGCGGACCTCATCTAAGGCGCAGAGTTGCGGACACAATTCTCCTAAGCGGCTCTCTCCGTCCCTTTCGCACTTATGTATATTAGTCGGTAGCGAATTTGGGCTTTGGCAAAATAATGGCCAAGTGATTTTCACTCGAATTTTCGATTCGATTGACAATCGAATTTCCTTTGTATTAGAATAAATTAATGTATTTCCAACGAAGTCTGTACAGTTTTTTAAAATAAAATATTGAACAATCAAAAACCCTTATATTCTATATACGAAGCTGAACAACTGTACAATAACGGGCTAACTTAGTAACTTGAAAAGAAAATCTATAAATGTTAGACAGCTGTTTAATATTGAGTGTAGAGGTTTTTTTTACCAAACTACGCACTAAAAAAATTATAAGATTCACGTAAAAATACAGGGATTTACGGTACTTAAACGTATTCTTTTTATCACTGCGTATAGAAAAAGAAGGTATAACAAGCAATAGACTCTACGTACATGCTACTAAATTGTATCAATGTTTATAATTAAGCTTAAAAATATATTTTGTTTTACTATATATATATAATAAACCACGATTAAAAATATTTATCCACGTTTCGAGTTCTTAGGTTTTCGCGATTGTTACACATAGGAAATGAAACTATTTTTCCGAATTTAAATCGCGTATACGCGTCACGGTTGACTGTCAACCGTGACCATGGAACCTGTGAAGGGCCCGAAACGTCGGTTTGTTTGAAAAAAAAAATATACGCGATTTAAATCCGGAAAAATAGTTTCATTTCGTATTTATCCACGTTTTTGGATAAATATTGAGTAAAAATTGATAAATATTCATATTTATCCATGACCCATCTCTAAATACGACACATTTTTTGGTATTTATACAAAATATGTAATAGTCAAATAACCTTTAGGATTTAACACTCTGCCGACTCCATGTAGAATGCTCACAGTATCATCTTTGCCTATTGCTAAAAATTTGCTTGAAGGTTTCTTTTTCTTTGTGCCTCTCGTTATTTTGCTCTTAGTCTCTTTTTCCACCACTATGCTGGTTTCCAAGTATTGAGTTGACCCTAAAAATAACAAACGTGCAGTCGAGAACACATGAAGGGTGACGGGTTTTGACTTTTGGATAGTTGTTATTGTAAGTAGGTAGTATAAAGTTTAATTTAAATCTTAAGTGTCTAGCTTTTATTTCGATGGGGCCATAACATTTAAAAGAAGACGAAGAAATGTCTAGCTTGACGTATTCTTGACCCTATACTTTAAAACGTGTCGCGGTAATGACAGATTGACTTACACCGAGGAGAAGTTACATATTTAGAAATGGTAACTGAAGGGTTGCACATGCAAAAAAGTATACGAGAGAGTGTACAGAACAGAAACTTGGACGGCAACTGACCAAGAAGAGGAATTTATTGAAGTTTTGACACATACTTTCGGTTTTATACGAGTACCTTTTAAACACGCAAAATGTAGATTCAACACAGCCGATCTCACATCTCCTCCAGAAGAATTAACAACACATTCTATCATGTCTGCAGTAGGGATGTTGTACATAGATGTATGTTTCTTGCTTATTATCTCCGCTGCTCGCTTTAAGGCTACCCTAAGGCCTGTTACTGAAACACTGTTGAAGCTAAAGAGTAATAAAAATAAAATAACAATACATAGTAGCAAATGAAGAACTTGTCCAACACTTGTGTAAGTTACAGTCTTTTAAATGAAACTAAGGTAGTATAGAGTCACCTTTATAGATCAAACTTTTGCATGGAGTTGTTTATTGCAATAGAATACAAATATATTACATTGTTTCCCATGATATAAGTTGTTACAACTTTGTTTTGACGACCACGATGAGATACCTGTACTTGAACAAATAAAAAATCTCTAATTTCAAAAAAAGGAGGAGGTTCTCAATTCGTCTGTTTTTTTTTTGTATATATGTCACGCGATAACTCCGCCATTTGTTAAGCAATTTTGACGACTCTTTTTTTGTTGGAAAAAAGGTACCTCAGATGTGGTCCCATTGTAAATTTCAAGAAAATATTCCACCTCTAAGGATGGCAAACTAGGGAATGACTAACTTTTTAGGTCGGTATTTTTAACCGTTAGGTTAAGTTATCATAAGTAAATTCGACTGTCCTGTTTTTGAACAAAGTTATTATGTTGTTTCAAATTCTTACCTAATATGATGTATTTGGAACTGCTGTTTCAAAGTCGGAGTAAATAGATTGGAGACAGTACTTTTGCTGTCTGTGTAGGACTCTGAACATATGAACACAATGGGTGACTTAGCTCTTTGCTTGTATTGACTGAAATAGATATAGAGGTCTAAAGTGAAACTTTAATTATTAGCCCAGAAATCTTGAAAATTATATCAAGGTCTTTTGTTGATATATACAGTATTCTAATGTACTCAGAGTATTCCAGATGTCCTAAAGATGAAAAGGATTTATACAAAATAAAATTGGTGTGCCAGAAATTATGCACACCAATTATGTGGTCTCAAACTAGAGAACTACCTGTACAATGAGTACCAGAGCAATGGAATTCACTCGAGGGCATTACTCAGAATACCAACACCAGAACCAATTTCAAAAAGTTTGAAATACTGTGTGTGGCTGCCATAAAATTGCATTTACTTCTACTGTAAAGTTAATTTCTTAGAATACTTTTTTATATTAGATATGATACATGAGTCGTTTTTTGGTCGAACCTCCAAAAATATGTCCCTTTCAATAACTTTTATGTTATTACATGAATGCTAAGCATTATTTATTTAATATGATTGCTTGCTTACTTAGTCTGTGTTACGCATAAAAAGACTACTTTACTACATCACAGTAATAAATAAAAATTAAAAAAGTGGTCAATTTCTCATTCATGGGAGCCGGTTCCACGTCGCCCTAATTTTAAGAAGAGAAGAAAAAAAAAATAAACACTCGTGGAAATCGCAATATTTCCCATCGAGGATAAACTCTAATAACTTTCACGTCGAATACATAACCGTAACTTTCCAATTTATTATAAACAAACATGTTTTCTTGGGAATACAAAATGTGTTTCAATTTTTCTTATCATTAGTGTCACTTCAACCAAAAGCCTCCTAATAACAAAAGTTCATACCGCATCACCTTCACTCTTCGCACATGGGTGAATTTCACATTCCAAATTTCAATGGCACTTTTTGAGTGATTTTTGTAAAACCCTTTTTTCTTTTGGTTTTAAGGTCTTAAATGTACAAATAAATTCAAGCAATGCCAATAATTATAAAATCACAGAAATATTTAAGTTAAATACAACAAAAAACTATATTTTAGGTCACACGAATGAGATTGCAGTAACACGAATGATTTTCTCATAAATATAAATGAGAAAGACGGCACAGTAATGAGAAATTATTAAGTGTGTTGTACACATTTTATCGTTCACAAAAGAACATTTAACAACATTTAATACGTAACAAATACATTATAACTTCTTGTATCAAAATCCTTCTCATCTGTGTAAGACCATCTATCTATTTATATGTAATTAATAAATAAATCTAAATAAGTATTTTGTTAATGTCATATAAACTTTGTTGTACATCAACATGTCATCATCATCACCACCATCAACATCATCATCATGATCACCATTATCATCAGCATCATTACCATTCACATCATCATCACAATCATCGTCATCATCACTACAATCATCATCGTCATCATCACCACCATCGTCGTCACCACTGTCATCACCACCACTATCACCATCTAATTGTTATATTTCAAGTAAATGTTTTGCTTAAAGTAACTATTTGACTTAAAAGTAGACAAGAATGAGAGCGACAATAATGATATTTGGATACATTTTTAATTGTCACGTGTGTAAAATATGCTGGACCGTTATAAAAGTGCATGGTTTTTTAAGTTCCCTTTGTCTAATTGATGTACAATAAAGTTTATGAAACTATTACTTAATACTTATTTAGATAGATTGCTTTACATGAATGAGAACGATTTAGTCACTAGCGCTGAAATTGGTATTTAAGTCGACTTTTTGCTAAAACGGAGATGCACAGGTTACTTCACTGTGTACACTCCAATCCGACAGGAGCCCATTCTCACGTGTGCGAAGAGTCAAGGTGATGTGATGCGAATTTTGTTATTAGGAGGGTTTCAGTTGAATTGACACTAATGATAAGAAAAATTGAGACACATTTTGTATTCCCAAGAAAACATGTTTGTTTGTAATAAATTGGTAAGTTACGGTATGATTTCGACGTGTAAGTTATTAGAGTTTATCCTCGATGGGAAATATTGCGATTTCCACGAGTGTTTAATTTTTTTTTTCTTTTCTTAAAATTAGGGCGACGTGGAACCGGCTCCCATGAATGAGAAATTGCCCACTTTTTTAATTTTTATTTATTACTGTGACGTAGTAAAGTAGTCTTTTTATGTGTAACACAGATTAAGTAAGCAAGCAATCATATTAAATAAATAATGCATAGTATTCATGTTATAACATTCATGTAATAACATAAAAGTTATTGAAAGGGACACATTTTTGGAGGTTATCTGAAAACGTGAGAAGGGGCTCCTATCGGATTGAAGTGTACGCAGTGAAGTAACCTGTGAATCTCCGTTTTAGCAAAAAAATCGACTTAAATACCAATTTCAGCGCTAGTGACTAAATCGTTCTCATTCATGTAAAGCAATCTATCTAAATAAGTATTAAGTAATATCGAGTTCTTAGGTTTTCGCGATTGTTACACATAGGAAATGAAACTATTTTTCCGGATTTAAATCGCATATATTTATTTTTTCAACCAAACCGACGTTTCGGCCCCTTTACAGGTCCCATGGTCACGGTTGACTGAGGTGGTACAGTCTAAGGATTTTGATACAAGAAGTTATATTAAAATATTTGTTACATGTTAAATGATGTTAAATGTTCTTTTGTGAACGATAAAATGTGTGTTGTAATAATAATTTCATACGTGTTACTGCCATCTCATTCGTGTGACCTAAAATATCGTTTTTTGTTGTATTTAACTTAAATATTTCCGTGATTTTATAATTATTAACATTACTTGAACTTATTTGTACGTTGAAGACCTTAAAACCAAAAGAAATAAGGGTTTTACAAAAATCACTCAAAAAGTGCCATTGAAATTCGGAAAATGGAATTCACCCACATATATGATTATACCTTAGTTAGAGGATGGAAAAAAAATAAAAGAAAGGAGCTGCCCTAACTACGGAATGAACGTACATACCTAAACAAAAATTGAACGAACAAATGGCGGATTTCTTTAGTGTCGTACCATAATCTATCGATAAGTTATTATCGACATGCAAACATTTCATTAAAGTAGATCAATATTCCATTCGGGAATATTTTAGGTTATATGGGAATATCTGGGAATGTCACATGAAATTTAGAATTTATTGTTTTGCGTTTACAAATACTGAAATATTACGGAAAAGTGAATTTGCACAGAAAAAAATAATATTTGTAATTTTAGAGTATATAAAAAATAGAAAGCTTTGAAATATAAATCCTTTACATTTCCTACCTCAAGATTCATATTTTCATAGAGAAATTTAAACAGATTCCAAACAGTGTAAGCTTTTTGTATTTATGCATTGGTATATCAGTGACTGATTTAAGTGAATCTTTAATACTTCCATTTAATTTTGGAAATAAATGAAAGTAGTAACATTATATTCCTAGAGTCGAGTTTTGACCCCACATCCCGTAATGCTGCAGCGACGAATTTTTATTAATACTTAATTGTTCTCACTGTCAATATTTTCGTCCATTTTATTACAATACATGTGAATAATTCAATAAAATACTTGGAAAACATTTATTTTGACATTTGATCTTCCCTTTGACAACCGTATCATGTACTTCATGTAACGCGAAATGGACACGGTTGGCATTTAAGATGACGTTACGTATTTTCGATTCCCGTGTTTGACACAGGCCAATGTAATGCTATCTCTTTTGGCTTAAGACGGCACGCAATAGTTAAACAGAGACAATGAGATGTTTATGTTTTCAACGTCGAAATGCACCATATACATATAACGTCTGTTATATATATTTGTCAACATAACATGTCCTGATTATACCAAGTGATAGTACGAACAAGTTGTGCGCCTAGTTTTAATCGACATGTGATAACAGTTGCACTCAGAGCTTTAAACTCGAATTTCTGAAGGACACTGCCAGTGCGCCAGTCACCCTGAGATATAAGTTGACAAATCTCATGTGTCTATGATTTCACCAAAATCTTATCACATTCTTATCTGATCTTACATGAAATTAAACCCAGGCCCTTCTTTTCCACCACCTATTGTGCAAACTGTTGGGCCACCAAGATCATGGAAGTCTGATAAGCAGACCGATAGTTCACTTTTAGTTAAAAAACAAAACCTTAAGTAGAAAAATACAATTGTAATTATGAAATCAACTTACTGCAACACATCATTGAATTCTGAAGGTGTTCTTAAAAACGTGTTGGGAAAGTCTTCAACTAACACTATTTTACTGCTATTGTTGTCCAACAGAGAAGTGAAGTTTGCCGCATTCAAAATAAAGTCTAAAAACTTAGTAGATTGCTTTTCTTTAAACTCATAGTCACCTGTAAGTTTTGTAACAATACAACACTAGATTATTACAAAGTTATTGGACTTTTTATTTATAGTACTTCCCAAACCGAATTTTGTTGTTCAAAGTGTTCTGGTTACTGAGAGCCCTTCAGTACAATCGGAGCCCTTCGGTACAATCGGTCTACTTTCCCGATCGGTCCACTTGTCCAAATGGTCCACTTTCCCGTCTATTTCCCATCTCGTCTACTTTACCGAACAGTCCACTCACTATTTGTCTACTTTTCCAATCGGTCCACTTGTTTTTCCTGATTCGTCAATTTCCCATTTCGTCTACTTTCCACATGGGTCTACTTTCCCGATCGGTCCACTTACCCAAATGGTCCACCTTTAAAGCGTGTAAATTAATAAAATATTACAAAAAAAAATCCATTTTACAAATTGTCAAAGCCAGTTTATAAATGAGTACATTTTTATATTTTTGATAATGATGGCCGCTTTACTTTAACCATGATTTGAAAAAACAAAAGCAAGTAAACAGTTTTTAACCAACTTCAAAAAAGGAGGAAGTTCTCAATACAACTGTATTTTTTTGTATGTATGTTACGCGATAACTCCGGTTATTTGTGAACCGATTTTGATGATTTTTTTTGTTTGAAAGAGTCAGTAGTGATCCCATTTAAATTTGAAGAAAATATTCAACCTCTAAGGTGGCAAACTAGAGCTGAAACTTGTTTTGCGCTCTTTCCGGTAACCAATTTCAATAAAACTTGGCAAATAGATAAGTAATTCCACAAACTCAGTGTTTTAGTACTCTGTACTGAGATTATCTGGGTAGACGCATCATACGTAGATCAAACTGTAAAGTAGATCAAACTGTAAAGTAGACCAAACGGGACAGTAGATCAAACAGATAAGTAGATGAAATGGGAAATAGACGAATAGGGAAAAACAAGAAACCCAAGGGGAATGTACACGAAATGTGAAAATAGACGGATCGGGAAAGTAGACCAATTGTTCTGAAGGGACTGCAAGACAACCAAAGTTTTATTAATAAAAATGGAAGTTATTAATTTGCTACTCTGCGAATGCAGTGAAGGTGAAATCATGCAAAATAGTTGCGCTAGCATTGAATATTTTTTCATGCATTTAATTTATTTGCAGTTAATCTATTAATTACTTAATGTTTTATTACTTTTAGTATAAATTGCTTCTCCTCCTGTTTAACACTTACTAATATTAATTTTACTGAAGCCGGTGACACTTTTCATATTCTTTCAGGCAGATCAAATAATACAAAAAACTAGAAGATAAAGAGGACTTAGCCATGCAAATATGCAACAAAAGAAAACATTTACTATATTATAAATAAATAACACACACACTCATAGCTCTTACTAGGGCAACCTTGTATTATGGGTGCTATGGACACACACACTTAGACCACCATAAATGACACCCAAATTCACAACAGAAATAAATATAAGCCATACAAATATTTCTCCCAGTCTGGAAATTGCACCCTGGAATTCTGTTTGGCAGTCCAGCATGGGAACAATTTGGCCAAGGAGGCAGTTTTACATTACACATTAATAAACACTATTGGAAACCTGTAATTGGCTGCATGTTTTTATTCCTGTTTTTATTAGTTTTTGAAGCTGTTGGTTTTCTATGCATAAATAAATACTAACCATACTCAGTAGGTATTTCAATATCAATAGGTGTGATCCATTCAGTAACCTTAATATGATATTTATCAGCGAGCATTCTCAAGGTGGCAGTCTTTCCGCAACCCACAGGGCCAGTCACCAGCAACATATCACTACTGTTTATTCTGCACACTGTCTTCACCCACTCCTCTACCTCTTGTATTTTTTTATTATTGACAGCTAAATCTTCAACTGTTTTTGGATCGAAATTTTTCATCCAGTTTTTATGATTTATGTTTACTATCTGAGCACTACTTTCAGCTGATTTATCAAGTACATTCTGTAAATAGCAATTGTCAATTTCAAATGGAGTAACTAAAAATTTAATTGAGTAGGCTGTTAGATGCCAGTTATAACTTACTTGTTGTTGTGGTTTAGTCTTCGGAGGAACTTCCTTTCTCAATTTCTTCGGTATTTCTGACTCATCAAAGTCGAATAATGGTTTGAACCATTTTTTCTCCTAAAAACACATTGAAAACTATTATTATTCGAGGAAAACACAATGTAAACAAACCGTGAACTTAATCTTGTTTATAGATAGAAAATCAAACATTTTCATTTTACTTCTCAGTGAACCGTAACCGAAACGTTGACTTATTTGAAAATAACATATATTAGATGCGATTTATATCGCAAAAATAGTTCCATTTCCAAGCGAAAACCTGGGAACTTAATTAGTGCGCACAGACCTTTTTATTATTCGACATTTTCAGCATTAACTATCACAAAAAAACTGTACGTATATGGTACGTATTATTAATTTTTGATATCAATTTAATCAAATTATAACGACAGAAAAAAGGCTGCCTGCTTTCAAATTTTTTTCCATCCATAAGATCTATGCTCTATAGCTTTCTACCAAATTAAATTATTGATGTTTTTGTTTTTTAAATTCTTTTCGTCGGAAAAGGCAAAGGTTTATTTTTAGAGGATGGGGTTTAAACACGTTACTGTTTTGTTCTCTAACTATACTTAGGCTGCCCACATACAGTCAGAATTCCGTTGCGGAATTTTGATTCGAGATCACATATAATAACATCACACAGTTTTAAGTTCATTTCCTTTCATGATTCGCATTCAGTTGAGATGTTCTCGCAGCGAAAATACGTACGGAATTTATGACTGCATGTTGCAAAATCTATGGAAATTCGGAACGGCTTTTTCCGTGCGGAATTCCAAATGCACAAATTACCACACGGATTTTCGAATCAGAAAACAATTCTAACGGAATAGTACTGTATGTGTGTGAAAAGTTGATAAGTCCGTAATTTTGTATAGTTTTGCTGCCTACGAAATTTTGAAACGGAATTCCGAATGAATGTGGCCGGCCTTATACTTTATAATATTTTCTGCTGGCACGCTGGCACCACTAACTTACTGGCACACAGTGGGCCCAAATTGATCATTCTTGGACATAGGAATAACTTGTGGAGTACAGAGCTATTTTTTTTATATGAAGTATAATAACATTCCTAACAACTTTTATTCTTGTATAATTTCTTGAAAAGTTGATAGTTTCGGAGAAAAAAAATAATTATTGTTTTTTTGGATGGAGAATATACATTTTATTTTTTATCTCAAAATATACGAAAATGTAATGTGCATGGGTTACTTACAGTATAGTTCCAATCATTTTCTATGTAGAAAAAAATAATCCGTCTGCATGTATGTACTAGCGGCTTTTTAATATTTATAAGTAAAGGTGCGGCAAAATAGCAACTCTTTTATTTACTTTTTTAACAAAATGCAAGACCTTCGACTAACAAAAAATTAATTTTAGTATAATTTAGAGAGTGTTATAACAATAACATGAAAATTAAGTAGAAACTAGTATATTGTGTTAAAAAATAAATAACAAATATAAAATTTTGACAACTTTTTACTCGTAAAGCCGCAAGTACCTGCAGATGGAATATTTTTTCTTAATAGAGGATGATTGGACCTATATTGTAAATAAACCACACACATTAAATTTTCCTACATTTCGAGATAAAAAATAAAATGTTTATTTCTTCAAACAAAAAAAAACTAAATATGTTTTTCTCTGAAACAATCAGCTTTTCAAGAAATTGCATGAGAATTAAAGTTATCATACACACCCCTGCTCTGTACCACACCTGGGGTGGGGTCGCGCGGGCTCGGCCTGCGGCGCGTGGTCGGTTTCAGTTTACGGGGTGTGCTCATGCTCTTCGGTGGTGGATATTGTGGGCGCTTGATGAGGAGGTCGATTCGCGATTTATGCCAATTTAAGAAACGAACATTTCCGAGTTGGTTTTGGTCTGAGTATTCTGTGTTATCGTTGATTTGGTATTCATAGTACCTACAAAGTACAGGAAATTCGGCAGTAGTTTGGTATTTTTGCCCCTAAATACTTCTCTTTGGAATAGCTTTCAAGAAAATGAAATCTAACATAGAGGGTCATATTCTAGAACTCTACTCAATGCTCAAGTCAGGATT